GGTTGTTTCCCTGCAGGCGTTTCATTACCTGACTAGGGAACATCATCAGTGCCAGAAGGGAGTGGGGGGTTTGCTCTCCGTTTACATACAAACTGGTTTGATTTTGTCTTGCGAGAAGGTTTTCCCCAGCTTCTGTGTTCACAGCCACAGAATGTGAGCAGAGCACTTCCCAAAATAAAGCGGGATAAGGCTTGATAATGTAGCGGAGCAAAATACAACAAGTAGTAGAGTTCATAAATAGTGAACTGGTTATTTCCTTGTCCTGTTAAGGGCAAACACAGGAAAAAGTGGGGGTGGGGGAATTTGCCATGGAAGGAGTCCACCGGGAAGGCCAATTCCCGAATGGATCAGCTGATCTGCAAGGAATCTCGTTGTGTATTCACCGAAGGGATGCACTTTAAAGCGATGAAAGGCAGCACGAATCTCTCTCGGAATAAAAAGGAATCTCTCTCTCTCTCATCAGTCCCGCTTTGCGCTTCCGGGAGGAACAGCAGCTTAATAAACGAAATGGTGAAATGTGCGTAGGGAACTAAGGCGCGTAACGAAACCCACATATCCTTTGCTATTCTTGAACAAAGAGGACACAACTAATCTGTTCAGATTAGCAGCTCAGCTAGGGGAGCAAAAGTGCAGCTTAGGACAGCAAAAGCAGCTGCAAAGCTTGGGATCACTCTCCTTATGGGATCTGAAATGGAACCGCTTGCAGGAAAATGCGGGGGGGGGGGGAAACGACAGCAGCCTCCTGTCGATCTCTAAAGCTTTCACTGTCCCCAAGGATTGAGGTCTATCAGGAGAAGAAACCAGAAGCAGGCCTCCTCCAAAATATTCCACGGGTGCGGTTAAACACGGGTGTTGGACTACAAGTCCCATCATCTCGCCTGCTGGCTAGGGATGATGGACGCTGAAGTCCAGATGGGCGGCACCCGTGGAAGGACAGCTCACGTTTTCGGTGACCAATTGGTGGTCCATGGGAAAATTTGGGTGGTCCGCGGAAAAATGATTTGCATTTTTTTATATGGCACTAAATCAGGGGTCCTCAAACTATGGCCCCTGGGAGGGATCCGTGCAATGAACGCTTGTGTTGCTGCAGAGAGTCTCCTCCTTTGGGGTCTTTTTGTGGGGGGCAGAAATTCCCACTTGGGGTCTGCTTCAGCCTCCTGGTGGGGGGCTTTGAGAGACTGCCTGCTACCAATTACCTCCCACAGACCCATTAGATCTCACAGGGTTGGCCTC